TTGGGTGTATGTGGCTGGCGCCTTAGCCACTTGAGCCACAGGCGCCGAGCCTAACTCCGTGATATATTAAGCAAGAAAGTCAAGATACTGAACACACATATGAATCCATTTTTGTTTAAAAATAGAATATGTGTATGTGTGTGCATGTGCACATACATATATACACTATATAGCTGGGAAATAGACCTGTGAAAGTGCCCTTCTCTGGGGGGAATGTCTATAGAAGAGTTTTACTTTCTACTTTATAATTCATTTCTTTGGATTGAATATTTATTTTTATAAGGGATAAAATGACATGTCTTTTGGATTAAAAACAGATTTCTGGCTGGGCGCTGTGGCTTACACCTGTAATCCTAGCACTGTGGGAGTCTGAGGTGGGTGGATTGCTTGAGGTCAGGAGTTTGAGACCAGCCTGAGCAAGAGCGAGACTCCCATCTCTACTAAAATTAGCTGAATGTTGTGGCCAGTGCCTGTAGTCCCAGCTACTTGGCAGGCTGAGGTAAGAGGTTCGTTTGAGCCTAAAGAGTCTGAGGTTGCTGTGAGCTATGAGGCCAAGGAACTCACTCCAGGGGACAGAGTGAGATTCTATCTCCTGATAACAAATAAAAGGGGATTTCTTAAGGGACACTTCCTTATGTATGTCCCTTCCCTGAGGGAGCAGCCTCTTAGACAATAAGGAGATGTTATCTGGGCTAGGTGCCTAATACCTATAATCCCAGCACTCTGGGAGGCTGCCAGATCTCCTGAGCTCACAAGTTGGAGACCAGCTTGAGCAAGAGTGAGACCCCATCTCTAAAAATAGCCAAGCATTGTGGCAGGCACTAGTAGTCCCAGCTACTCATTAGGCCGAGGCAGGAGAATTGCTTGAGCCCAAGAGCTTGAGGTTGCTGTGACCTGTGACTCCACAGCACTCTACCAAGGGCAACAAAGTGAGACTCTGTCTCAAAAAAAAAAAGAAGGTATTCTCTTAGGGTGCATATTATAGAAATAACATGGTGTGGGGGAATTTTTAATCATTTTTGAGGCCTCTCCATAAATGGCCCTTACAAACAGTTGATGCCGCACACTCATTCCAGGGACGTGGCTCAAGTATTTCCTGGTGCTGGGCGCCAAGCTAGTCGGCGGGATGCGTGGTGGAGAGGACAGAACAAACAGTACCTTAGAGCCCTGTGGCTGTGCAGGAGGAATGCTTCCTCTGCCTTTCTTTCTCTTGATTTCTATTTCTAAACACGCAATATGGCTGTTGAGTTCCTTTCTAACAGGTGAGGTTGGCTTTGAGAGGTCGGTGCCACACACCAAGGAGCAGGAAGCAGATTTTATTGAATGACGAGGCTCCGTGGATGTCCCCTAATCCCACCTAAATCTCTGAACTCTGGAGAGCCCATTGTCATCCCATTTTACAGAAGAGGAGAGTTCTTTATGAAAGCTACAGGTTTAACTTAGGGGAATGAAATGGAGGTATATTTGCACGTGAAAACTATACAAAAGAATATTAATTAATAGATCAGGGCAGCCTTCAGAGAAGACCTACCAAATTATGGGCTTTCTCGGTTCCTCCCTGTCCCATGACTGGGATTGATATCCAGAAAGCACGGTGCCAGGCTTCTGCATCTCAGGAGGGCCAGACATGAGGAGGGAGTGGTGATAACAGTCAGAATCCAGGATGCATGGGGCATTCTAGGCCAACATCGGTAGGATACACTTCAGAGTTCTTAATTCAAATCTAAAAAATCCCTATCTAAACAGAATGTGAGAAGAAACTGGTTTAGTAGCTGTACACATGAAAATGACCTGGAAGTGTTATTTGCCAAAAGGCAAATAGGGCCTTTAAGTGGGACGTTGCTGCAGGTAGGGTGAATATGGTCTTCATCGGTGAGAACTGGGGACCTTCAACTTCAGGAAGGGACAGGCTACAGAAATCATGCCCTGGGGAGGAACATCCTGTGGCTGCTGGTCTCAGAGCAGACTCGGTAGACATTTGTCATGCCAGAGAGGAAATGGGCTTGTTTTGTGATTCTTGACATCTTATGTAGCACTAGCGGGTAGAAATTTAATTTTATTTTTGAGACAGAGTCTCACTTTGTTGCCCTCAGTAGAGTGCTGTGTTGTCACAGCTCACAGCAACCTCAAACTCTTGGGCTTAAGCAATTCTCTTGCCTCAGCCTCCCAAGTAGCTGGGACTACAGGCACCTGCCACAATACCTGGCTATTTTTAGAGATGAGGTCTTGTTCTGGCTTAGATTGGTCTCGAACCTGTGAGCTCAGGCAATCCACCTGCTTCGGCCTCCCAGCTTGCTAGGATTATAGGCATGAGCCACCTCACCCAGCTAGTGAGTAGAAATTTTAGAAAGAACATAATTTAACTTGGTATGTTAAGGATATGTTAAAAGTATTCACATCACAGACCTTGTTTTAGAATCTAGATTCCTGCATGAAGAGTTAGACTTTCAACTGTTATATAAAATTATGAGATGCATGAGATTGCAGCCTCCAGGGCATCCTCCATGACTCTGCATAGCATGTACAGTATCTGCAAAGCGGTGAATTGTGCTAAGACTTGTCTTTTCTTTTTGGTCTTTTTTCTTTTTCAGAATGTCCCCACTATTGGTGCCATTGCTGTGGTCTTAGCCACACATCTGTGTGATGAAGTCAGCTTGGTAGGTTTTGGATATAATCTCAGTCAACGCAGAACTCCTTTGCACTACTTTGACAATCAGTGCATGGGTGCCATGACCTTGCAGACCATGCATAATGTGACAACTGAGACCGAATTCCTCTTAAAGCTGGTCAGAGAGGGAGTGGTGACAGACCTCAGTGGAGGCATCTATTGGGAATTTTGAACACAGAAAACCTCACTTGGAAATGGAACTCTGACCCCGAGGGCTGTTGTTAATGGCCTTCTTGATGCACTTCATCCTCCAAATATTTGAAGTGCAGCTGGTTATTGTTTTTAACTTTTAATTTAAAAACAAAAATTGTTTTGTTCTTCCTACTTTTTTTCCTATTTATTTGAGGTTATTGTTTTTGCACAATATTTTGTAAGTTAATTTTAAAAATTGAATTGGAAAGACTTCTCAAAGAGAGTTGTATGTAATGATGTTCTATTGAATTTTAAGAAAGTAATTTGATTTGTAAAAACTCTATCCATGTATACTGCACATCAAATACCAGGTAATTAATTGGAAGGAGAAGAGAGGTCACTCCTTTGAGGATGGCCCTAAATGCCTGATTCTGGTTCCCTGCTGCACTGCTGGGTGGACCGAGGGAGGAGGCATTTCTAGGATGACATGCTTGGTAGCTAAACTGCTGACACTGGGTCAGCAACACCAGCCCCTGAGGCCCGGGCAGGTCAGAGGAGTGCCTAGTCCTTCTTTGTTGGTCTGCTCTCTGCAGGGAGACTTGTAAGAATCCACCAGGGGAGCCGTTGTGGGGACCCCTGTCGCGGGTGGGACACAGAAGATACTTTGTGTCCTCTGACTACTGTGAAGCCACCCTGAGCTGCAGAAGCCACAGTCTTCCCAGCAATTATGACAACTCCTGAATTTCAGGAGACTTTTTTACTGTTCTTCCAAAGCACTTAAGTTTTACCTAACGTGTTCCAATGTCTTTGTCTAAAGTGGCTTATAAAAATTAAGACAAAACCTCTGATCCAGAGTCAAGGGGGAATCCACTCTTTCCAGGAATATCATGTTTTCTGAAACACTGACGTGAAATCCTCCCAGTGTTATAAATTGCCTAAGGGTTTTGAATGCCTACCTGGCAATGTGAGGGTTGAAAAGGAAACAAAAAATAAAAGCTTTTGAGGAGCTCTCATAATCTAGTTAGAGTGCTTGTTTGTTTGTTTTATGAAAATCTGTATACATACACCCAAAACACCCTTCTTGGATGCTGCTGCTGAGGAGACCTCACCGTGGTCCCATGGTCCCAGTGGTAAGGGACAGAGAAAATTACGGTGCCTGCTCCCGCCAGCTGCATGTTTGCAGGCAGCTGGGAGCTCTTCTGCAAAGATGCTAGGTGCCGGTGCCTTCCTCCCCAGGACAGACCCGCTCTCGAATCTGTCTCTTAGTGGCTCTAGTCCTTGATGTCAGAAGATCTGCCACTGCTCCACTCCCACCCTGCCCCAGACTCTGCTGCCGTCATCACTGTTCTCCAGCTCTGGCCACTGCCACTGCTGCCACCACCTCCCTGGATTCTCTTTTCCTGTAATGGCTTGTGCAGCCTTGACCCCTGGCCCGTTCTGACGTCTTCCCCATCCACCACCTCCTGAGTTTATCCAGGGCCATGAGCCAGGTCACAGCATTCAAAACAGAGTCCCTTCCATCTCCAGAGCTCTGGGATCCAGCACAGAATGGCCAGCAGAGCAAAAATAGCCTTTCTCTGGACGTGTGTCTTAAAATTTTGTGTGGGTTTTGCTTTCTATTCTACGATACTCTCAATAAAGGGAAAGTGTTTTAAAATTCTCATCTGTTAAATGGCTTAGTTCTGAAAATTGAGACTTGGGAAAATGGTCCACGAACAGCTGCCCTGTGCTCAGGTAAGACCTAGCTTACACCACACAGCCCCATCCCCTTGTCCCTAGAAGCCTAACCTCAAACAACTTTCTTAATACTATGAGCACCTCCTCACTGGTCCCTGTGGACTCTTGTCCCACATGCTTTGCAAGGCTGCTAGAAGTGTGGAGCTCAGCACCCATACTCAGCTTATAGACGCTCTCAGGCCTGCTCCCTACCCCAAACCTCTTCCCTGGGTGTCCTTTCTTGAATCCTTGGATAGCTTTCTCTGGGCCACTCACCTGTTATCCATTCCCGTGTTAAGTATGTACCTTAAATGGGTAAAAAGACATATTTTTGAAGACCTTTTATGGAGTCCACCAACCTGTGGTAATTCACTAGAGATCACTTTCAAGAACTTCTAACGGCTTGGCACTTGTAGCTCAAGTGGCTAGGGCTCCAGCCACATATACTGGAGCTAGGGGGTTCAAATTCAGCCCAGGCCTGC